AGGTGGAGGGGGTTGGGTGTAGTCCGATACACGCTCGCTCATCCGAAAAGGAGGAGAAACAGCCGAGAAATCACCAACTCAATCATGCCAGTGACTGATTCTTGCTGCACAGTGGGTCAGTACATAGCTGGCCCACTTACGCGTCTGACCCGCTTATACGTACTACAGAGCTGACCCACTTGTTCTCCAGCGACTTTTGGAGTGATTTCTCGCTCTGAATGAATCACAAGAGCCTCTCAGAAGCCCATTGACCCTGCACAAACGTGTGCTCGGCTGGATGAATGACGCCAGATGCCTCAGGTGACTCTGTTGACCACAAGACAAGCGTCTTGGTGGTCCAAAACTGGCTGCGAGCCACGAAAACCGACCTCTGAGCCCCAAACCCGTACATCGGACAGCCCGAAAACCAGCTTTGCAAGAGGGGCTTTGTCAAACTGCACACAATAGTATCATGTGAGCCCACGATGTGCATAGCCAAGGAAGGGACACGTACATCGGACAAGCGCGCGTGCATCGAAGCCACGCAGCAACAAAACTCCATAGCAGCCAAACAGAGTCCCCACTGCAATAACAAGGCCAAACAGAAGCAAACACTTAACACACATTACACAGCGTGAGAGCACCGGCCCATTCTACACGCGCGCCAGTCGCTCTTCCGTTTACATCGTGACTCAACCTCGCCAAGCAAACTCGCCTTTTCGTCGCAAATCACCATGAATGATTCGTCTCAGAAGATGACAATCAAAATGTCTGTATTTCTCCATGGAATCACTCTTTCACAGAGGGGTGTTTCATCGTCTTGCGGTCATTTTGAGCCATGAGTGGTCGGTTTGGATGGCTGATTTGAGTCTCTTTGTGTACGGAGTGATTCAGCCCAGCTGGCCCACATACGCAACTGACCCGCTTATGCGGTGACCCACTTACGCGGTCCGGACTGTAAAATGTAGGAAGCGATGGTATCAGTCTCTCTGCTCTCGAATGGCTGTAATCGCTGCTGGCAGACAGACACACAGATAGTAAGCCTTGACTGAGCCAACCCCAAATATTTGAAAACGTACTCCGTCCCGTGCTTGGCGACGCGGCGCCTCTTGTGCGTCTGCCCGCCCTGCTGTGCCCCTCCGGTCAGGCGGCAGTGGCGCTGGGGCGCGAGTGGCGCCATTCGTGTTCGACGGACAAGTAGGACAGCAGCAGCAGGGGGATGACAACAGTGACGATGGTATGGAGAGAGGGCGGGACAGAGACTCGTGAAGGCGTGAATGGATGGTGTTCCTTCAGTGCCATCACACACTTTCATCCATATCGATGCCAGAGCGCCCAATCGACCAGTTTACCATATGCCAGAGAGTGAAGAAAAAAGAGAGAGACAGAGAGAGAACGAGAGCAGAGAGCAAAGCGACAGGAGGACTGGTTAAATGTTCCGCCATGACACGTGTCGTTGACATGATGTTGATCCGATACACGGATGTGAGAAAGTCAATAGTATATACAGATCTGTACACAGGTTGTGTCATGACTGCACACACGTCATCGGCCGCATCCAGGCACAAATATGCCTCGCCTCCACCCCGATCGCCCAAAAGCAACACACCAGCCCGTCTGTACAAGGATGCACCCTCACGTCACTCAATGTCGCTGATGTCGCTGCCCCTCACAGACGATCCCTCGTCCGTGTCTCGGTCCTCGGGGCGCTCGGGGACAAACTGGGGGAAGTACGCCTGGAGAAGCGCCACGCACTGCACCATCCATCCATCCATCCATCCATGAGAGAGACAGAGAGACATGGGTGCGTGTCTTCCTTCTGCGGCCGACGGGTATGCTTCGTTGGATTGCCCACTCACCCGTTGCGAGAACTCCTGAGTGCCGTGCAGCGCCAGGTGTTGTACCTTGGCCACGCCGCCAGCCTGTCACTCACACACGTGCACATCCCACGTGTACATAATTGTGTGTCATCCGTCCCTCCATGCTGACTGACAGACCTGGTGGACGAGGTCACAGTAGGGGTTGTTCGCGAGACCGTCGGCCGCCTGCTTCTGCTCACCCACACTGCATATACACATGGATGGGCGACAAAACAGCCACACAATGCATTAATGGGTGCCGCCCGATCTGCGTGTGATCTATGTGCTGCCTGACCGACCGCAGAATGCCATCGAGTGTCATCAGCGCCAGTCGGACCTCCGCAGGGTTGTCGCTGTCCAGCACGCCACACAGGAGATCGATGCACCCACACTCAGCCACATACTCGCCCTGCAGACAGGCAGATGTAAACGATACAGACAGACATTGCTGGTTTGTTTGCCCCAGCTCTCCTTCATCCACCTCGAGGTGTACCTGCGTCTGCGATCCGTTGGCCAATATCTTGTGCAGAACTAAGGCGCCACCAATCTTGGTCGTCTCTTCTCGCTCGCCATCCCCGCCGCCCGCCAGCCGCTCAGCCACCACGGCCAGGAAGCCCCCATCAATCAACGACTGAATCGCGTCATGGGCACCTGCAGCTCAGAGAGATGCGCAGATCAGAGAGGCAGGCCGGTCGCACTTCTCTCTGAGCACCGTATCTCCCACCTGTATCTACGATTGTGGCGACCGTTGAGTATGCCCCCGCCCATATGATGCTATTGGCCGATGACATCATCGCCTTGAGCTGGGCAGAGTGCTCCAAAAGCACAGCAACGTGGTGAGAGTCGCCACCTGAAGGGACAGAAAAGGGCACACAACGGCCAGCTTGCTCACGCTTCTGACTTTCTCATGGCTTGCTCACGCTCGATGGTCCATTGGATGACTTTGAGGGCAAACACTTGCACGCAGCACTCGTCATGGGCCAACAGCTGCAGCAGGCGACGATACACCCCAGAGATGAGCTGCATGACCTCTCCATCGGTGTCATGGCCCTCCGTAGCTGGAAGGATTGTGTAGAGACTCAGCATCGCAATCTGCAGCAGGTCACTGCCCTGATCATCGGCTTGGACCAGCATCGCCAGGACACGGACACACTCCATCGCCAGCCAGAGAGGCAGCGGTGGACCGCTGCTGAGCAGAAACGCCAGCAGCGCACTGCAGTTCTGGCGGACCGCAATCTGCGCATAGGTGTCGTCCATGGCGCTGCGCAGCCTCTCCAGCAGTGGCTCAATCACGCCCGTCTCCAGAATGGCCTCGCACGCCGCTGCCGAGTACCTGGCCATGTACACCAAGAAGGAAGCCACGCGGAACACCAGGTGCAGATCATCGCTGGTCGACAACAGCCCGACCAAAGTGGGGATAGCCTCGGCATCTATCAGTGATTGTGCGGCCGCATCTCCCGCATCTTTCGAAACAGAGAAGATCCGACGGGAGATCTCCGTTGTTGCGCAGACATACCACCACGAGTTCTCGCTCCTCATGTGGTCCAACAGCTTCCGGATGGGCGTGCAGCGCAAAGATCTCGTGCAGACGAAGGATGCTGCGCGGAGGAGGAGGAACACCAGGACCGCCAACGCAGCCAACACTGCCACTACGGTGACGAGCCATCGGATAAGACACATCAGGAACGCGCCGAATGGGCTCGAAAAAGCGCCAGTCGCGGCCAGGAGAACCACAAGGACGCCACGCCAGCGCCAGAATCTCCAAAGGGCCGCTGGATGCATGGCTGGATGGGAAGATTGCGGCTGGGAAGCTTGGACAGGAAGGGTTTGCGAGCTTAACCGTAACTCCCCTGATCTTCCTCCTCTCACAGTTCAGATGCAGCATCATGAGCAGCAGCAGCAGCAGCAGCAGCAGCCCCCCTTTACCTACATCTTCGTCGGACGCCGCACCAACTGGCTGCTCAGCATAGAGGACGTCGTGCGGCTGAGGGCCACCTGCACGTGGATCAGAGAGCTCTTCAAAGCGGCCCAGCTGAGAGATCGGCTCCACCACTCTGTCGGCTCACAGGCGGGGCTGCGGCGGGCGGTGAATGGGCGGCAAGTGCAGCTGCTGCGGTTCGACGACGACCAGTTCGGCGCCCATGATCTGCTGGCGGCTGTGTGTGTGGTGGAGGAGGGGCCATGGGTGGAGATCGGCCAGGTGATTGAGCTGGCAGGGCAGTGCGGCAACTGTGACCTGCCTGTCATCCTCACGGCCGATGACATCAACACACATAAAAACAAGATGGTGAGCCAGCAAACAGAGGGGCGGAGAGGGGAGGCAGAGGGCCTCATTCTCTCTGTGTGTCTGTGTGTGTGGTCGTGTGTGTAGGCGTATGTGTCGGTTCCCCGTGTGTTGGCGCAGCTCAAGATGGTCGGCCGCCACGTCCACTTCAGTGACGGCACCTACCTGCAGCTGTTTCAGCATGGCGATGAGTGGCGGGCCATCAAGGACGAGCTTGGCTTCGAGCTGGAGGTCGACCCGCCCCTCCCCGCCGGCCACCTGTACCTGCAACACCGGCAGCCACACGACCCGCCGGTGGGTGAGGGCATCATCTACTCGCAGAATGACGCCCGATGGATGTCGGACGGTGGCCAGTACACCGAGACGTCCGCAACGTCGTTTGCCATGTTCAAGGTCCTCCACCGCTTCCAGGAGACTCACCAGACTAACCACATGGAGGCAATCGTCAACAGGTGACAACATCAACGGCGTCAAGTGGGGGTTGGGGGATGTTTGGGTATCGTTTGTTGATGTCTGTCTGTTCAGGGGTGTCGGTGGCGGCCGTGTGGATCGCCTGCTGACCGAGTCGCCCCACACACCGGTGGCCGGCTGCACCACCACATTAAGCCGGCACGGCAATGTGCGACGGCTGGTGCTCACCGACAGCAGCCACGGCTTCGTGGCGTGGATATCCATGGAGGGAGGGAACGGCAGCAGTGAGGCTGGCAGAGAGGCGCCGGTGGTGGAAGCTGATGTCATCTGTGCTCTCCCTTTATTGTATGCAGATTACCTGTGCATCAGGACCACTGACGCGGCTGTGACTGGCGTTGGTTTGTTCAAGCACCGCTACCCCATGACCACTCAGCTGGCTCGTGTGGCGTTGGGGGCGGTGGCGCCATTCGTATTCGACGGACAAGTACAACAGCAGCAGCAGCAGCAGGGGGATGGCAACAGTGACGATGATATGGAGAGGGGGCGGGAGGGAGGCACACTCATGGTGACCATGGATGGATGGATGGATGGATGGCATTTCTTCTCTGTCTATCTTTGGCTGTGGTGTAGATTCCGACGGCCATGGTGGCGGCTGGGATGATATGGATTTCGACAGCGACGGAGAGGACAGCGAAGGTACACATGAGGGAGGGAAGGCACACACAGAGCACACCCTGGCTCTACCTCTCGTGTCTGCGTGTGTGTGTGTGTGTGTGTGTGTGTTGGACAGGTGAGGATGCATCAGCCGTAGAGGAAGTAAACGGCGACTGACTGGTTAATCCCACATGGATATCCGCGCACCCCACGTACACGCCAAACAGTGCCGCCGAATCGTCTGTCTGCTCTGTATGTTTTGGTAGGGTGCCTCAGGCTGGAGTGCTGTCTGTAGCTGCTGGCTGCCCGAGTCGATCGACTCGTGGCTGTCTGTGATAGAGACGCATTGTATACCACCCTTGATACCACCCATTCTGTAGAGAGACCAGCTGCTGACACACACATATATTACCCAATCCCTCTCTGCGTTGACACTTCTGTGGCTCTTCTGCTGGCTGCCTGGCTGGGGGCTTTGGGTCATGTGTAACAGTTGGCCTCCACTGATGGCCGGTTATGACCTGATGCCTCGGCCGCTCTGTGTGCGTGTGTGCCTGTCTGCCTGCATGCCCGCATGCCTGTACATGGCTCTCTGGCTGATTGCGTGAACCAATAAAGTGACATGCAGACAATAAATGCAGCGGATCTCAGGCCAAGAAACTAAGTCAGTCACCCCCCATCAGTCACAACTTTGGAAACCAGTCAACGCATGTCGATCGGCAGTCAAATTACGCATGCCGATCCGTCCATCGATCGGCAGTCAGCCGGTGAGCATTTCCTTTATGTCCGCCTGTTGAGGAGGGAGACATAAGCTGAGGAGCAGCTGCGGTGTGTTGGTCGATGGATTTCAAGAGAGCTCTGTGTGCACACACCGTGTTTGTATGTATCAATCAACGGGTCAATTATATATATCAACTCGACACACTGTCCTCAACACATGCATGCCTGTGGGTGGCTGCGTATGTCCACGAGTTGAGGACAGTGTGTGTATTTCCACGAGTGAGACAGGGGGCGTTTCTTTGTGGGGTGCGTGTAAGTTGCCATGAAGAATAAGAAGCTCAGACGGCTCTTTCCGCTCTGCTACTCACTGTGGCGTTCGGCTACAGAGATGACGACAAACAGCACATGAGCGATACCCTTCTGATGGCACACGCACACACACACATGAAGTACCAGTGAGGGCAAGATTCAGCCACATGACAAAGGACATGAATCGCTGCGCACCCGCCAGTTAAAATTGGCTGATGGATCGATCAATCGCCGCTCTCCGCCTCAGCTACGCCACCTTCACCTGTCGAGTGCACAGGACACACACACACACAAATGAAAGTCATTCAGGCCGACGTTCAGCCATCTGTGCTGTGGTGTGTGTGGCTGTGTACCTCCACTGCCGTCATCCATATCGTCACCCTCATCGTCACCATCACATCGGAATCTGCAGACCACTCTCAGGGAGAGAGACACCAGGCACGTCATCTATCTATCCATCCATCCATGTGTGTGTGTTCGTACCATCGTCACTGTTTTCATCCCCCTGCTGCTGCTGCTGCTGCTGCTGCTGTACCTGTCCGTCGAACACGAATGGCGCCACTGCCCCCAACGCCACACGAGCCAGCTGAGTGGTCATGGGGTAGCGGTGCTTGAAAAAACCAACCCCAGTCACAGCCGCCTCAATGGTCACGACATGCACACTCACTGCGCACCAGGGGAAGGAGAATACGTGACATCTGACATGCAGGGCTTCCTCTCTGTCACACTGACCGTCGTTATTTCCTGACACGCTGATGTGAATCCATGCGACGAATGAGTGGCTGCCGTCTGTGAGCACCAGCCGTCGCAGACGACCGTTTTGGCTCATTGTGGTGGTGCATCCGGCCACCGGTGTGTAGGGCGACCGAGTCAGCAGGCCATCTAGACGGCCGCCATCAACGTACCTGAACCAACCACAGGCACAATCAATAGCACTCCCTCTTGCCACTGGTGCCCTTAGTTTTATTACCTGTTGAGTCTTATCAATGTGTAGTTGGTCTGCTGGGTCTTGTCGAAGTAGTCGACGATCATGAACTTGGCAAACGACGACACTGACGAATCGGTGTACTGGCCACCCAGCAACAACCATCGGCTATGGACGAACGTGTAGTAGATGCTCTCACGCACCGGTGGGTCGTGTAGCTGTCGGTGCTGCCAATACAGGTGGCCGGCAGGGAGGGGTGGGTCAACCTCCAGCCGGAAGCCGGGCTCGTCCTTGATGGCCCGCACCTCATTGCCGTGCTGGAACAGCTGCAGACAGCTGCCATCACTGAAGTGGACGTGGCTGCCGACCATCTTAAGCTGCGCCAACACACGGGGAGCCGAAGCATACGCCTACACACACAACCACACAGACACAGAGAGAGAATGAGGCCCTCTCCCTCCCCTCCCCGCCCCTCTGTTTGCTGGCTCACCGTCTTGTTTGCGTGTGCGTTGATGTCATCGGCTGTGAGGATGACAGGCAGGTCACAGCAGCCGCACTGGCCCGCCAGCTCAATCACCTCGCCGATCTCCACCCATGGCCCCTCCTCCATCACACACACAGCCGCCAGCAGATCATGTGTGCCGAGCTGGTCGTCGTCGAACCGCAGCAGCTGCACTTGCTGCCCATTCACCGCCCGCCGCAGCCCCGCCTGTGAGCCCAGCGAGTGGCGGAGCCGATCTCTCAGCTGGGCCGCTCCGAAGAGATCTCTGAGCCACGTGCAGGTGGCCTTCAGCCGCAGGATGTCCTTGATGCTGCTGAAGAGGTAGAAGGTGCGGCGGCCGACGAAGATATACGAGAAGGGGTGCTGCTGCTGCTGCTCTGGTTGCTGCATCTGGGTAGCTATGATGTGCTCGACGACAGCCTGCACAGAGCGACAGAGCCGACAGAGGACCGTGTGCATCAAGCATGCTGCTCATTGGTCTGTGTGCGGCTCACCTCGTTCGATGATCAGACAGACAGATCAGCTTGCAGAGAACTGAATGCCGCACCTTCACCAGCACCACCAGCAGCGGCAGATGAGGAGGCCGCCATCACTCCTCAACGACACGCCTGCAGCGATGGGCCGACAGACACAGAGCGAGAGAGATGCCAACAGAAGAGGACGGCGAACGCATTGAGGCCAATGGATCAGTGAGCGCACCAGTCAGTCAGTCAGTGAGTCCGTCAGTGAGTGGTCGGCCGCCCTCACCTCTGTTTGGCTGTCAGCTTAATGGCCCGCCATCTCACCGCAGCAGTCCAGAGGATGACTGACTCGAGACTCAGTGACTCAACGCACAGCTTTCCGACAAGGCCGACAAAGATTGGCCTTCTCCCGGGGGGAAAGGGTATCAAACCCTTTGACCCTTCGAACCCTGAAGTTCATCACCCAAAAGAGCCCTCATCGTTTCCAAAACCCTTCGAGCCCTGGACAGAATCAGCCGGCTGCCTGTCTGTCTGTGTCTTTGTGTGGCGTGCAGGTGTGCTTGGCTGGGTGGTGGGGTTGATAACTGACGATGGCTGCTGCTGCTCGTATGTGTGTGTGTGTGGGCCGATGTGTCGACGACTGACTGACTCGACTTGACTGAATCGCTTTGTCTCTCTCGTGGGCTGGCCGCCCTTTGTGATAGCCAGCGTCTCACTGCACACACATGAACGCCCCTACTTACTCGTTATGCACCGCTCCCTCCCCCCAGACCCTGATATATACATCAAAATGTCTGCCCTCCGCCCCCTCCTGGACACACACACACACGTGTCTGTGAGCTATGTGTGGGCTGTTGGTGTACTTGGACAGCGTACTTGCTTGGGCTGTCCGTGAGTGCGGCAGGCCAGCCAGCTAGTCCAAGAGCTGCGATGCGATGTGGTCCCCCAGCACGGCTCGCGCCAGTGCGGCCGTCTGTGGGTGGCGGTCCTTGAAGGCACAGAAGTCCTCACGCACCGGCTTCTCGCTCGTCTTGACCTCAACATTCACTGCATCAATCACACAGAGCACATCGGTTAGTAAACGGATACACACACACACACCCATGATGGCTGCGCCATCCCGTGCTGTGCTGACTGACGCACCCAGCAGATTGTCCCGCTCGCTAATGGTAGGCCAGGCGATGAACGGGTGGGCGGCGTCGGTCAGCACTAACTCGCACTCGAAGCGTGCAGGGGCCCCGTTGCCCGAGGCGGGTGTGCGGTAGGCTGTGGTGGTCGTGCAGCCCTCCAGTGGCACGTGAGGGGGCCGTGTCAAGATGGCGTGCAGCCGGCCGCCATCAACGTGCCTGATGGACCCATCAACCCACCCAGGGATGACAGACAGACAGACAGACAGACACACCATAGTGCACAAACAAAGGCACACATGAGGGGATTTGGACCTGACTGACCTGTCGACGAGTGTGTTGGTGTGACAGATACGATGCGCGATGCTGGGCCATCGAGGGCCGATTGCCAACTCGCTGAGGATGGTCCTCTTGAACAACGACGACAGAGAGGAATACGCCACAGGTGGGTCACTCACCACGTAGTTGCACTCCTGCAGCCCCCTCCAGTCTTCCCCCATTGTGGTGTACTAGATGGGGGTGCTGACGGGCGGGTCATTGGGCTGTCGGTGCTGATGGTAGTGCTGGGGGATGGCAGGTGGGGGTGGGTCGACCGTCAGCCGAAACGGAGCCTCGTCACGAATCACACGCACATCTGAAGTGAAGGCACAATCAGTCAGACATTTCCAATGATCCAAACAAAGAGAAGATGCCTTGCCTTGCCTCAGCCGCTCACCCACCTTGCGTGTCGGCACCGTTCTGGAAGACTTTGAGTCGCTCGCCGGCAACGATGTGGTAGCCCACCATCTTGAGCTGTGCCAACACACTCGGCTGAGCCAAATAGGCCTGCATGCAGTCAATGAACGGCATGCATCCCACACAGTGAGTCAGCCTTCCTTACTCACTGCCTTGCTCTTGAGTCGGCGTAGGTCAGCGACGGTGACTATGATGGGCAGCCGAAACTCGCACTCATAGTCACGAGGCCAAAGTGGACCGATGAGCCGCCGCTTTCGGCACTGCCCCGCCAGCTGCAGAACCTCACGTTGAGCTCGTCAGCGAACCGCAGCACCTCCCGCACTGGCTGCCCATCGCCGCCAACGCGACACAGGCCGGCCTTGACCAGGGAGCGGTTGAGCCGAGTGCGCAGATGAGTCTTTTCAGGCCCTCTCTTCAAGAATCTCTTGCCGACTCTGATGCCCGGCGCAGAGGTGCACCAGGTCGACGAGCTCGAGAATTTCATCACACAGCTGGAAGACCGCCCTCAGGGCCTTGTGCACCAGGGGCTCCGGCTGCTCAGTCATCGCAAATCACATTTTCAGCGAGCTGGCGGGTTTGAGGGTTTGGGGTGAAAGGATTTTACACCCCATGACCCCCCCGGATAGTTGAGTGAGAGTCACTCAATCACTCAATCATCAGCAGTATCAGACGCCGAGAAGAATCACTCAATCATCCTGTCGACTGCTGCGGTGAGATGGCGGGCCATTGAGCTGACAAATATCAGAGGTGAGGAAGGCCCCAGGGAGGCCGACCACTCACTGACTGACTCACTGACTGACTGACTGGTGCGCTCACTGATCCATTGGCCTCAATGCCTTCGCCGTCCTTTTCTGTTGGCATCTCTCTCGCTCTGTGTCTGTCGGCCCATCGCTGCAGGCGTGTCGTTGAGGAGTGATGGCGGCCTCCTCATCTGCCGCTGCTGGTGGTGCTGGTGAAGGTGCGGCATTCAGTTCTCTGCAAGCTGATCTGTCCGTCTGATCATCGAACGAGGTGAGCCGCACACAGACCAATGAGCAGCATGCTTGATGCACACGGTCCTCTGTCGGCTCTGTCGCTCTGTGCAGGCTGTCGTCGAGCACATCATAGCTACCCAGATGCAGCAACCAGAGCAGCAGCAGCAGCACCCCTTCTCGTATATCTTCGTCGGCCGCCGCACCTTCTACCTCTTCAGCAGCATCAAAGACATCCTGCGGCTGAGGGCCACCTGCACCTGGCTGAGCAGAGATCTCTTCGGAGCGGCCCAGCTGAGAGATCGGCTCCGCCACTCGTTGGGCTCACAGGCGGGGCTGCGGCGGGCGGTGAATGGGCAGCAAGTGCAGCTGCTGCGGTTCGACGACGACCAGCTCGGCACACATGATCTGCTGGCGGCTGTGTGTGTGATGGAGGAGGGGCCATGGGGCGAGATGGGCGAGGTGATTGAGCTGGCGGGCCAGTGCGGCAACTGTGACCTGCCTGTCATCCTCACATTCGATGACATCAACGCACACGCAAACAAAACGGTGAGCCAGCAAATAGAGGGGCGGGGAGGGGAGGGAGAGGGCCTCATTCTCTCTGTCTGTGTGGTCGTGTGTGTAGACGTATGTGTCGGCTCCCCGTGTGTTGGCGCAGCTCAAGATGGTCGGCCGCCACATCCACTTCAGTGACGGCAGCTGCCTGCAGCTGTTTCAACGAGTGGCGGGCCATCAAGGACGAGCTTGGCTTCGAGCTGGAGGTCGACCCGCCCCTCCCCGCCGGCCATCTGTACCAGCAACACTGGCAGCCACACGACCCGCCGGTGCGTGAGAGCATCTACTACTCGTCCTGTAACGACGCCGACCGATGGCAGTCGGACCGTGTCTTCTTCGGTGGCCAGGGCATCGATGCGTCAGCTTCGTCGTTTGCCAAGGCCATGATCCTCGACTACTTCGAGGAGACTCACCAGATCAACGACGCATCGATAGGGCTCAACAGGTGACAACACACTTGAGGCACTAAAGGCAAGAGAGAGCGCCGTTGACTGTGTGTGTGCCTGTGGCTGGTTCAGGTATGTTGGTGGCGGCCGTCTGCATGACTTGCTGATTCGGTCGCCCCACACACCAGTGGCCGGCTGCACCAGCACACTGAGCCAGAACGGTCGTGTGCGACGGCTGGTGCTCATAGACGGCAGCCACCCATTCGTCGCATGGATTGAGATCGGCCCAGACGGTCAGAGTGACAGAGAGGCAGTTCTGATTGTCAAATGTCGCGTGTTCTTCTTCCCTGTGTGTGCAGTGGGTGTGCATGGTGACCACTGAGGCGGCTGTGTATGAGGGTGGTCCCTTCAAGCACCGCTTCCCGGTGACCACTCAGCTGGCTCGCGTGGCGTTGGCGGCGGTGGCGCCATTCGTGTTCGACGGACAGGTACAACAGCAGCAGCAGCAGGATGATGAAGACAGCGACGATGGTACGGACACGCACCCACACATTGGATGGACGGATGAACTGCCTTCTCTCTCTGTTTGTTTGTCTCTCTCTCTCTCTCTCTCTCTGTGTGTGTGTGTGAGTGTGCTGTCTGCAGATTCCGACAGTGATGGTGATGAGAATGACGATGTGGATGACGGCACTGGAGGTACAAAGGATGGAAGGCACCACAGCACACAGAGGCCCTCACATTGGCCTGCATCACTTTCAGCTGCGTCCTGTGTGTCCTGTGTATTCGACAGGTAAGGATGCAGCAGCTGAGAAGAGCGGCGACTGATCGATCCATCAAAACTGGTCGGTAAGCGGCGACGGGCGTCCTCTATCATGTGGCTGAGTTTTTTCTTTACTGGGGTGTGTGTGCGTGTGTCATCAGGAGGGTATCTCTTGGGTGCCGACCGTCGTCATCTCTGTAGCCAATCCGTGTGCGCGCAAATGAATCGCATACCTACCATTCGGTAGACAGACCGGCTGCTTGTATGTGACCAAATGGCTGTGGGTGTTGTGCTGAAGAGTTCCATGCCTCCTCTGATGCATGCGTGAATCGGTCTGTGGGGTCCTTTTTGCCCGTACGTCGCTCTTCTTCATGCGCGGCTGTCACTCCCTCTGTCTGTCTGTCTGTCTGTCTGTCCGTCTGCCTGTATGTGTGTAGATCTCTGCCCGTCCTCATGGCTGGTTGGCTGGCTGGCTGGCTGCCTGTGTGTGTGGGGGTGTGGGCGAATCTGGTTACGCCCTCCGCTGCCGGCCGATTTTGGTGTGATGCATCCCCCGATTGTGACTGTGTGTGGCTGCCTGGCTGACTCACTGGCCATGCCTCTCTCTCGATGGCTGTGTGGTGGGAAGCGTCGCTCTGCATGTGAGTGTGCCGCGACGGACATGAAGTGAACTGTTGTTCATGGAGCACAGCCAAGGAATGGACACGTACGTCGAGGAGGGTGCGCGTGCAGCGAGTGAGTCGAATACTCCATCGCAGCAAAAGACAGAGTCCCCACTCACTCACTCAGTAGCAAGGCTAGAACCCTCGGCAAAAGGACCCACCTGTTGTACGCACGTACACGAGAAACTGCCACCCATAAGGGCACATAAGACCGCCCGGTCGCACGAAAGATAAATCCTTTCGACAAAGCTAGCTTTGTGGCGGCCCATTCTCACTCTCGTCAGCCGTGGGAAGGGAGACAGTCAGTTGCCGGATGGCCGCACTCTCGACAGTCAGAGGCAGATAGACAGATACATCAGCTTGGCTACGGCTCGTGTGAGGGGCGGACAGACATCAACCTGCCGCAGACACTTACTTCCTCTCGTTGGGGCCGCTCGGCCCTTTTCCGGCATCAAGGACGCATATACCCTCGGTGCTGCCGATGTCGAGTCAACTTGGCAGCTCTGTGCCGACCGCGTCACCTTGTTTCGATGTATCCCCTTTGCCATTGACATGGTCAGCGGCAGCATTCGCCTTGTTGTCCCTTCTTTGCTGTCACTGCGAGCGGCTCTAACACGGACATGAGAGACAGCCCAGAGGCACTTGGCCGCAGAAGCTGTCTGGGCCGACTCTGCCGCTCGTCGCGCCAACGGCGACGGCGACATGGCGAGCTGACTGGGTGCCCCGGCCGCTGACTTGTTGCCATATTGAGGGGCGTTTTACGCGGGGGGCACGCCGAGACATCGCGTCTGCCCAGCGCCGTAAGTTGGCCACAATGAAGGGCCTGGAAAGGGGGGCGGGGGAAGGGGAAAAAGGCAGGGGAGGGCCACCAGCGGAAACCAGCTCGTGTCGGGCCTCGGGTGATAGACATCATGCCGCGGCTCTTGCTTGACGTGGTGTGGGTGTCGTGTGTGTAGCACGCCACTTGCTGTTGGTGTCACTCACGTAGCCATACGAGAATGGTGGGGATGTCCTGCGACGGACGGCTGAGGGCGAGTGTCGGCCATCGGCTGGCACAAGCCAGGTGAGGATCACAGGAAATACAGGCGGCTGGAAGGGAGATATCGTGCTCCACAGATGTGGCTGGGTCGATCCTCGAGCCACACAAGGGCGAGACACCACCGCATTCGCCCGCTGACACCCGGGGGCTCCTAAACTGGAATGGTGGTAGGAGCCGCTTTGTGGGTGGACGCTGCCGTGGCGCGGCAGGAGATACTGGCGATGCAGCGGAGATGAGAGATTCCTGAACTTGGACCTGGAAAGATAGCAACACAATTGAATTACCACACAACACAATTCCATCGATTGCATCCTTCATCCACGCACCTGGGAGTCCTTGTTCTCCGCCTGATCCATCACCTGCCCCTGTCTCTCTCGCGCCACGAGCCGTACAATCGACGGCCCACTCTGGTGGGCCTGGGGATGCGGCCGTTAGCAGCCGGGGGACTTGGACACACCAGTCTCGGCAATGTGGACGACACGACAGGTAGCCTAGATAGTATGGTTGGTCCTCTGGCTGTAAGTGTATCGCTCCTCTAGCCTTTGACGTGGCCGGCAGAACTCAACGCAAAGTCTCCCTCTTCTCAGTCTTCACCTTGCTTGAAGGGCCGGGAGCCAGTACAGATGAATGAAAAGTCCTCACCTAGGGTCAGCAGCAGATCTGCTTGGGCGACGAAAACTGGTCCGCTAGACCGTCACCATAATGTGGGTGCTGCCGCTGCCCGCTGATGCCACTCAGAAGCGGGTGCTCATCTGCTGGACTCATCAGACATGTCGGCGTGGAGGCCAAGTGTTTATCTGACGAGCTCGAGCAGGGAAAAGCGGTGTCTGCCAAGGGTAGGGAGATAAGCTGACAACGCTGCAGCCGGCGCGCTCAAGCCGTTATGTGTCGACGGGAAGGCTGCACAAGAGAGCCCCACACAGACATGCAGAGACACAACAATGGCACTTCGTTTTGGCAGTCTCTCACATTATTTGTGTGACCAGGCCTCACTCAGGCGATGTGGGGCGCCTTATCTTGTGCGGCGGTGAACAGAGAAGCGGCTGTGGGGGAGTGAGCAACAATACGCCATCAGTTGAGTCGATGATGACACACCCACGCCGCGTCGCGCGGCTCCAAAACCACCATAACTAGTACACACAAAGCCAGACACACAGGGGGGAGACACATGAGCATCTGACTCGCTCAGTATGCCACTCTCTCACCTTGGTTGTCTGTCCACGTCTGCCTTCCTTGCTCACGCAATGGGCCTGAACTCCAACACGATGGATCCTCGCAGATTCCTTAGGTCTTCGATGTCGGAAAGCGCCAAGGAAACGAAGCAGGCGGTGAGTCCCACCAGGGCCATCCAGATGTACCCCACAGCCCACACGAAGCTGGGCACCACGAACGGAATCGCAAACAGGCCGCCCATGTTATTGGGCGTCAGGGCTAGGGCAGCTCAACTTGGCTGATGATGTAGAGGTAACGGTAGACGTACTCGGCTGAGCCGAGGACAAAGTAAAAGAAGACACAGACGCCGACGGAAAGCGAAAACAGACCCATCTTGGGGGAGACTGGGGGCCGGAGGGGGCCCGTGCAAGCTCGCTGCCTCTTCACGCAATGGAGTTCGCCTCTTTCGTGGGCATGTGCTTCGTGGCTTACTTCTTCTTCGGGCTCATCGAGTACGGCGTCAACTTCTACAACGAAACCGTCCGGCGCAACCCGCACCTTTCCCACCTCTCACGGACCCACTGGATTGACCATGTTCATTGAAGCAGCCAGCATGGTGGCCGTCCTGCCCTTCGCCGTGCCCAGCTTTGTGTGGGCCGTTGGGCAATGCTGGACAGTCCTCGTCTGCCTTTCCATCTACGTGAACATTACTCTCGTCGGCCTCTTTGCTGTCCACCCCGGCATTGACTTCTCGAGACGGGACGTCGACATCGCGTGGTTCCCATTCTGACTCAGAGTTCTTCGAGACAAACAAGGTGACCACTCGTAGAGCAGCGTGCGAGGCTCGTGTATCTGCTAGTGTGTCTCTGTGTTTGCCCATTCAGCACCCAACCCCTCCCCCCCCCAACCCTCCCCTCAACCCCTATTATTCTCTTCCCCTGTCGGCCAACCGACGCCCAGCACCGCATTCCTGAGATGACATGTCCCCAAGAAGGCAGCAGCAGCAAGATGGTGACGGCATGTCGACAGCATAATCTGATCTGAAAGGCCCAAGTCTATCAGAGACACAACTTGCATTGAGGCCGTAGTCTATTGCTGGCAGTGCCTGGCTGCTGATGATGATGCTGATTCTTCATCTGTACGGCCATCTTCTGCTGCTAGGGTGGGTGGCGGGGGCCCGCTATGAGTGATCGTTTTGATTTCATCGGTGGAGGGATTGGGAGAGGTCGATGTTGCTGAACAAAGAAGCCCTGCTGGTGCCAGGAAGAACACACCAGCACTGTCAGTACACGCACAAGTTGGGCTCTCCCTTGACCCCACAGCCACCTGTTACTCGAGCTAAGACTTGTGGGAGACGTCTATGTCAGCGAGACACAGCTCTGTCTAAGACACACCAAAGCACTTCAGGAGGGCTGGCCATCCCGCGGCTGGTGGCAAGAGAAAGAAATAAGGGCAGGTGACGGAATCGGCGGAGAAAGAGGACGCTCAGGTGAGATGACGAACAGAGAAATGGCTGTACGGATTGATTGTGTTTTCTCTTTTCTCTTCAGGGTGCTTTCACCTTTGATGCATCACCGACGCCTTCTGCCACGCCCTTGCCGGCTGCCCCGTGGCCGCATGACCCACCACACCCCGCCCGAGATTGTGAATGGTGCGCCACCATCTCTCGCGGCCATCCCAATCTAACGGCGGTGCTTTTTCTTGAGATCAAGCGGAGGATGTTGAGGAACGCAGCGAGGCCAGCCCCCCCCC